TTTTATCAATCAATAAATTGATTTAAATTTAAATTAAAATAATTACCGAATTAAATCAACCGCTGCGAATTAAATCAAATAATAAAAAACCCGAATCGAAACCAAAATAAAAAATAAAAAAAAAATGGTAAAAGCAAGTTTAAAATTAGGTAGATATACATAAAGTGTGAAAACCACCAAACTTCACTTTCCAATGAAACCACAAGCCACATGATGATGCTTGGGAATTCACAAGCCTCAAATCCCAGCCCCTCTTTGTCTCATTGACCCTACATGAACACCCTCTTCACCAAAACTTAAGTATAAATATAATTATTATTGGCCGACAAGTGTCAAGTATTGATTGATACACGCACATCCAAGTGACAACTCTATCAAAGTTTTTGCTTGCTAGTAAGTCCCTATCACTCACTATAACCATGTGTCGCTTATGAGTATCCCAACCTTCCATTCCTAACTCAATACTATTGAAATCACTAAAAGTAAAGAGTTTGTGGTGTGTGTGTGGTCAGGGGCTCACTGAGGGACCCTGAATAATGGGTTCAAAATCCAAACTATACAGACTGTTTTCCTATTAATTGTTCATACCACATGAGTTTCTTTCCAAACCTAGCTACCATACACAAGATACTATCTATACCCTCATTAATCAAATGTCGACAAAAAACAAAATTTTAAGTTAAGAGAATATTTTTCTTCTTAATATAGGATGTTTGGGTTCACGGTAAATTTTAAAATGAATTATGGTCATCATAATTTTCTGTTTTTTAGATCATGCCAATATAGTATGATTTTGTAAGACTATTAATGTATCGAGTGTTATATAAGAGTCATGATATATATTATTATGGATTTTGTATACACATATTATTTGGGAGTATCAAACAGACATGTTCGCTTTTAAGATATATTTTATAAAAGTCTAAAAAAAAAATGAAATAGAAGAGGAGAGACATTGCATAGGAATTGAGTTCGCATATACCACATATTTTTAATTTAAAATTTGAAAAAAATCAATGTTAATGTCTGCAAAAACTTGAAAAAAATATGAGACAAATATTTTAGAAGATAAATATCTAAAACCTTAATTCATTCTTAAAAAATTACGAATTAAACAAATATATCTAATGGATTAGACTCGTTTTACTTCACTAAGTGCTATGGATGAATTAAGAAGTAAAAAATTTCAATTTCCATTTTTAATATTTAAAGTTTTAGTAAATATTTAATTCTAATATAATTAATTTTCATAAAACATGCTTAAACTCAATAATTTTTATTTTTTTTTAAATTTATCCAATAAAAATAATAATATTCGACATGTAACATATAATAAACAGGGTTAAATGCTTCTAAATTTCTCTTATTTATTTTTAGCTCCTTTAAATTTTTTTTAAAGAATGATTTTTTTAAAATTTTAATTTTAACTTTTTGTTCCTCATTCTAAAATATTGCTAAAATTATTGTTAACTCAATCGTTAAATCAAAAATCATAGTTAAAATCATCTTTAATTATGTCGTTAAATTATAAAAATAGTCGTTAAGTTATATTAGGGACCAAAAGTTAATAAAAAATTTAGGAGGACAATTTTTTAAAGAAAAAATTTAAAAGACTAAAAGTTAAATGTGAGACATTTAAGAAGAACAAAAATATATTTAACCCTAATAAATATAATAAATGTTAATATATCTCTAAGTCATCTATTAGTCGGATTCAAATATAAATACCTCAATTCTATTGGTCATAGGGATGGCAATTTGACACATATTGTAACATCCCGAATTCTAGATTAATTATTTAATTAATTAATTTAGCATGATTACATGAATTAATGTGAAGTATTTGATGTTTTGATGATTATACGTGAGTCTTTATGGTAATTTGTAAAATTATGATGAATATGAAGTGTACCATGATGATTGAGATGAATATGATGTTTGAATATGATGTTTGGATGACTACGAAGTGTAGCATAGTAGGAATTAGACTAATTAAAAGGATTATTAGTATTTTAGAATAATTATAATAATTGTTTAGAATTATTTTAATTGGGAAAAATAGAATAATAGAAGTGTAGAGAAAATAAGGGTAAGATGGTAATTAGTGGAGAATAAGTAAGGACAAGGTGGAAAGTTTGATATTAGAGGTCTAAGGGTTATACAAAGAATTAGGAAAAAAGAAAGTCATTATGAAACGATCGTGGAATTGAGAGAAAGAAATTGACGCTATGGAGAAAGGAGGCTAAGGCAAAAAGAGACAAGAAATTTCGGTTGAGAACCAAAGAGAAGTTGAATTGTTGTTATAATCTTAAGGTAAGAGGAGTTTTATCATTGTTATTGTATTTGATTTAAGGTTTAGAGGATTGGTAGATTGCCTTAGGTTTTGGTAGATGGTGATTTGGAGTTGTTTGATGAGAAATTGATGAATTAGTGATGAATAATAATTTATAACTGATGTATATTTAGTATAGAATTACAGGTTGTTGATAGATGATGAAACCCTGTGATTAGATAGTGTTTTAAGACCTGTAACATGATAAAATCGCAAGAAAATTGGACTGGTTTATGCAGAAAATTGCAACAGGAAAATCCTATTTGCACAAGATCGTCGGACGATGGGGGATGTGTCGTCAGGCGATGGAGCTTCGTCGGGCGAAGGTGGGAGCAAATGGAGGCAGATTGAAGCTAGTTTCTGTAATGCATCACCCCTAGTGTTGTCGGGTGAAGTGTGACTCGAACGTAGCATCGTCGGGCGACAAAGTGTGTCGCCAGGCGAGGGAAGGCAAAGTTGGTTGTCCAAGTTAGAAATCTTAAAATGATCATAACTTTAGTTCTAGAGCTCGGAATGAGATTTTGTTCGAAGCGTTGGATAGCCAACATAATGAACTTTAATTATATGGATAAAAATGAGACTTAAGGAGTATATCTCTGAGACCTAAGTTAGAATAGAATTATATTCTCTGTGTTGAATCGCAATGATGCTTTGCTTATGATGATGTTTTGTTTATGATGATGATGTTATGATATTGTGTTGATTACTATGATGATGTTATGATGTTGTGTTGATTACTATGATGATGTCATGGTGTTGTGTTGATTACTATGATGATATGATAATGTTTGTGATAAATCATGAATGGTGATGTGTGTTGACTAGTCATGGCTTATTAAATATGTTGTTGCGCATCATTGCATTCATGGCATATTCTAGGACTTCGATTTAGTGAAGTTAGGACTTCGGTCCAGTGAAGATGATAGGAAGGTTGTCCAGTGAAGGTAAAAATCCTATAGTGTGGATTGAGTGCAACAGTGAAGTGCTCTGGTTCCAAACGAGAATCGATCATATGGTGGGGATCTTTGGAGATAACGATGACCGAGTCATCAGTGAAGTTTTGGTACCACATGCATGAGTCTATGATGTTGCATTACATTTTATGTGACATTGCATAATAATCTATTTATGATGTTGATGATATATTGTGTATGATGATATGTGTACGTGTATTGATGAAGTTGTGAAGGTGTGAGTATAATATGAAGATATGATGATGTGTGATGCCTTGCTTATGTGCATATTCACTATGTCTATTCCTTATGTGTTATATAATGATTATGATTTACTCACCATTTCTTCTTGAATGTTGCCTCCATGTGGGTAAGCGCGGGTGATCGAGAATAGTCCGTAGAAGCATTAGAGGATAGCTTCGGAGTGTGTTTATTTGCTTTTGTTGAATAAAGGGAGTCTTGCTCTGATATGTAACATCAGAGATGAGATCGAATGATTGGAACTAATGTTCTTTGTTTTGTTTTAAGATGTTGAGTCACCCTACGTGGTACTCGAGATGTTTTGATTTATAAGTATAAATTATGATGCATGACTAAATTTTATGAAGTATTATAATGAGGTGTTTTGAACTATGATTTCTGCTGCAATGACTTGACGAACTAAATGTTGAACATATCTTGTTAAATATTTTGAAAACCCGTGTTACGGAGTAAGATGTATTGTTGTAAAGCTTTATATGAAGATGTGACATCCTTGTTGGTGCTACACTCTGATTTATTTATTAAAATAATTGTGAATATTCTGAGATTTAGAAGGGTGTTACACATATTTTATGGGTACCTGCAAAAAATACCCATAATGGGTAGGGTAAAAATCCACAAAATGAATACGAATACGAACACAAACAATTATCCATTAAAATAAACAGGTATGTGTGCGGGCACGGATACCTTACTATCCACCCCACCCCATAATCGTACTACATATTTATATAATGTTGTTTATATTAATATATGAAAAATACAGATTTATCAATTTAATATATATATATATATATATATATATATATATATATATATATATATATATATATATATATATATATATATATATATATATATATATATATATATATATATTAAAATGTTATACATTTTATTTATTTTTTAATTCAACAATAACTTCTACAATTTTTTTAATATTGTTAAAAAAAACTTAAATTATATGATATTTTTATAATTAATACAAATACGAATAAACAGACACAAATACAGATATTGAGATATCCATAAAATACATGTAAGGATATTAACATTAGTGTACACACGAAATTAAACTCAGAATATGAATTTTTTTTCAAAATACGGATATGAGGACGGATCCTAATACCCTACCATTATCATCCCTAATTGGTCATAGTTACCCTTATAATTTAATATTAATAATTTCTGATATCAAACCATCTAATTTAATGAAAAGAAATAAAATTATATAAAGAGAATAAACACATCCTTTTACTAAAAATTATTTTATGTGACATATTCCCACTCCATTAACCAATACAGAGCCAAAAAAACACATTCTCCAAACCAATCTCTCTTTCTCTTCAAATTCTCCATATAATCAAACATTCCACTCTCTCTTTCTCTCTCTCTCTTCTTCTTCTCTCTCTATGAGACTAACTTCGATAAAACCAGAAAAAGAGATAGAAGCCATGAGAAACAGCATAAGATGTTGCATATCTTGCATCCTTCCATGTGGAGCACTCGACGTAATCCGCATAGTACACTGTAACGGCAGAGTAGAAGAAATCAGTGGCACTATCAAAGCAAGTGAAATCATGAAAGCGTATCCAAAACATGTCCTCAAGAAACCTTCATCTTCCTCCTCACAAGACGGTGTTGTTCCGAAGATCGTCGTTGTTCCTCCCGATGCTGATCTTCAGCGCGGGAAGATTTACTTCCTCATGCCTCTCCCTTCGCCGCCGCCAGAGAAAAATAACCAGCGCCATGTGAAAAACTCTTCGAATGGAAGAAAGAAAAGAAAGGAACAGAATAATAACAATAACAATGACAACAACAATAGTACTACTGCTACTGCTGCTACTACTACTAACAACAACGTTGGAAACAGTGGTTTGCTTGTGTCTTCTGATCAGTACTTGACTGAGATTTTGTCTGAGAAACTTTCGTGTCAGAGAGAGAGAAGAAGAGGACGTGTTGCTGTGTGGAGACCTCACTTGGAGAGTATTTCTGAGTCACCAAATCATCTATAACGGTTCATCTTCTTCTTCTTTTTTTTCTTCTCTTTGTTCTTCTTCTTCAAGCACCATTTTTATTGTTTTTTAAGAACATGTGTTTATTTTCTTTCTGTTTTTGTTATTATTTTCTTAGTAAAGAAGAAAATAAACTCTGTTTCTGCCAATTCTGTGTACATATAAGGTTAAAATTAATTAGATTTTTTATATTTTTGTATGGTTTTTGATACTGTTAATTAAGCATATCACGGTGAGTTTGACTGAATCACGGTATCGTCGCTATTTTAGTAAAATTTACTTTGTGTCATACAAATAATTGATTGTAATTTTTTTCTTTCTATTTTTTGTGCTATATTTAGGGTGTGTTCATAATTGAGGATCAGATGGAAAGATAAAAAACAATTGAGAGAAGAGATGGAATTATTGGCATATAGAAGAAAAATGGTCTAAATTAATTATTCTATTGTGTTTGATTCTGGTAAATCAGTTTTGGATCATAGTAGAATGTGATTGAGACATGATCCATGTTATGCTGTTCCTACCATTGGACTAATCCATTCTATTCACTGTTATTATTCCCATTCACACTGTCATAGGAAAAAAATAGTGTTCTGTTCTTTATTTATTGGTGTCTGTCATTCTTTAATGCCACAGCATGACATAATGCTTCCATCACTTTCCATAAATATCATGATACAACCGCGAAAGATTAGATAGCTCAACTGATATGAATTAGTTGAGTTAGCCCATTGTAAGATAAATCATGATTCAATTATACAACTATATTTAAGAACACTTGAATGAAAACGTAAGAGATCACTTTCTAGGATTCGTATCGAGTCTTACATATACAATAGTGTTAAATTTTTTTGAAGGGGAATTTTGCCGTCTATTATAATCTTTTTTAATTTGAGAGATTAATCTACAGTTGCGTGCAAAGATAACCGAATTTATTTTTCATTTTTTATACACTTTTTCATTATTTTATGTATTATAAATATTCCTAGTAGATAGTATAACTTTATTTAAAAGAATAAAAAATGATTGGGGACCCTCAAATGATGGAGTACAGATTCACCAATGTGTATGTAGTGTAAAGCCAAAAGGTGTACTTTCTCCCACAAAATGAATGGATAAACAATATGAAAAAGACCAAAGTAGATGATTTTGAGGTTTGAAGGAATTGAAAGTAGCCACACCAAAGGTGTTTGCTTTCCACCACATTTCTTATATGTAATCATGGTTTTGCTATAGTTTGCACTTTCCTCTAAATTATTAATGGGATATGCTTTTAAGCAATTTGTTCTAATTATTAGTGGCCATGGCATCCTGTAAAGTTGATTCATTACATTGGAGTTTGACCTATCTAATGGATTGGTTGGATGGTAGATGATTGAGCCTTGGAGGAAACTCATAATTCTTATTCTGATTCTCATTTTAGATGATCCAAACATATATATTCTCTTTTTTTCTCTTCAATCCAATTCATATAAGATTTCAGTTCAAATTTTGCTTTAATCTAAATTTGAATACCGTCATTATTGTAAGAACAATGTTTCAGAACCATTTTTGAAAATGTGCAACAACAACCTACAACACAATATCTCATATTTTTCACAATTACATTATACGTTAACAATGGTTTTCATACACTTAATTTACGATTAAATAACATCTCTTAAATAATTTAACGACTCAATTTAATCTAAACTCAATTTTTTACCCTAGATATTTAAAAGTTTAAGACGACTGTGTATTATAAAAAATAATTCTAAACATTTTTGTAAATACACTCATACACAAAATCATGAATATTAAAATTTAAACTCTAATAATAAATAATAATCTCAAACCTTTTAACAGTTGAGCTGAGTTTTGCCAACATAGTCTAAAAATTTTATCATAAAAAATATATTTATAGTTTTTCAAAATTTAAATATTTATAATTGGAAGTCCTACCATCTGGGACCAAACAAAATGTTGACAGACTGAGAATACTTACTTCATCATTCATATGATGTATGTATGAATGAATCATTGAAGTGTAATATTATTGCACAGATTATCTTATTTTTGTGTCAGTGCTATCAGGTGAACTTGTCTCAATCTCTTTTATCTATACTGATTTCATTTGCACAATTAAACCACTCTCATCTTCTCTTAGCTTGGAATATTATTACCAAATTTAATGGCTATAACTACAATATTAAAGTTTTTAATACAGTTGTTGATTTGAAATGCTAACTACTCATAATAATTGATTAAAAGAAAAAAAAAAAAAAAAAAAAAAAAAAAAAAAACTAATGTACTAATGTACTATACTGCCACTCTGTATTTATAGAGTAGTTATCTGTCTAGATAGGATTGGTAGAGCATTTATTGAAGATGACTAGATCATGTTCCTCTACCATTAGATCTTTTCATTACCACATACTTTCATTCTAATGTCGTATTCTATGACTAGACTTAGGTTAGCATGTTCTTTATTTTATGTTAAAAACAATTTAATGAATGCTCCAAGTACAAGGTTGGGGAAGAATGATCTTGATTATTATAAGACAAATTGTTCATATGGGTTAGAGGTAAAATATAAAAATTAAAATGTGTTTATTGTTATTTCAAAATTAAATTCATCGTTAAAATGTGAATGTCCATTTTAAATAATAGATAGTTGATAGTTACACGACTCATCAAATTAATTATAAATTTAATTAATTTGACTAAATAGTAATGACCGTTGATAACAATTTATAGAGGTATAATTTTTTTATATATCCAAAAATAGAAGAAAGGGATTACTATCATTTGGATAATAAATTAGTTGTTAAGCCTCATCAAATTAATTAAAACTAATTTCAAATTAAATTGATTTTAACAAACAATAATATCAGTAGTTATTACTCTTCCAAAAATTGAACGAAAAGTCAAGCTTAGATAAGAAAATATAAAATGAAGGATTCTGTAAAGGTTTGGTAAGAATAGACCGATTTGATTTGAATATTATCTTTGATGATGTGATAATCTATTTCAATGTGTTTAATACATCCGTGAAAAGTGAAATTATGAAGAAATAGCGAGTTAATTTATTGGCATAAAAAATAGAAGCAGGAGAGGAGAAAAAGATATGAAGATCTTTAAAGAGATACATCATAGTTCACATGTAAGACTAGCTAATACATGATATTGAGTTTATAAGCTTAGTTTGGAGATGGTGGTCTGATGTTTGGATTTTCATGAATTGAGAGAGGAGCTGAAGAACACACAATAGCATTTAACAAATTTCTTGGTTTTAAGATAATTTGCCCAAACAAAATCTGATAAAGTTTTAGATTAGAAGTTGTTTAATAGAACAATCCTTGGACACTAAACCTGTCAAATTTTTGGGGTAATAAATTTCGGTAATTTTTCATCTCATTTTTATATATTTTTTCAGGCTCCGAGTTATATTTTCAAAATATTCTCTATTTTCGAATATGCATCTTCGGACATCCGAAAAATTATTTTTTCACAATAAAATTCAGAGACATATCTCTGAAGTCTTAAAAGAGTGTGTTCGGAGATGTGATTCTGAATTATACCTGTTACCAGAACTCATATAGCATGAATGGAAACATGGCAGCAAAATTTAAAATATACCAACACCAACATCAACATTTTATTTAATAAAAATATTCATTACATAGAAAGTCATGAAAATAAATTCAACATTACATAATCATTTCATCGGACGTTGCAACATAATGATTATATCCTCGACGGATCATTGAATCTTCACATCCACTTCAATCGGACTCTTTGATTCATAACAGAGAAAAATAGTCCAAATAACCTTCCATTCAGTTCAAGGTTGGTGAAATGGACCTTCCATTCGCTGTCAAATGAGGGAGAATGATACTCGAGATTGATAACTCTACAATTTTCTGGAAAGCGCGTCAGAGTTTAGTTTAAATATCATATATGCGAGGGATGTTTCCCCGTTGACCCTAAATGGAAGTTGTGGTTTCTCGTCATTGAAGTACACAAATGCAAGGTGAGGATATGAAGCCATTCTCTCTGGTTTTAGTGTTTTGGTGCAATAAATAAAGGTTGAGACACATCATATTTATACAAGTATTGGGTAACTTTGGACCACAAAATTCTTATCATGTATAAGGTAAAATTTCGAAATGACATATCCGAATAAACCACACGTTTGATTTCAAAAAGGGTGAGTTCGGAGTCACATATCCGAAAACTTTACTGAACCAGAAAAAAATTAGAATCTTTGTAAATAAGCACATGCAATACAAACCAAAAGTAAATCTTAAAATTAATATGTATTAAATCGTATCAAAATTAATAAATACAAAAAGTGTATCGATTACAGTCTAAAATTAATCAAAAGATCCAGTTCCGCATAAATCTATAGCTAGTTCCCCTTTGATGCTTCCTTATTTGATTCTCTTTCAAGCTCCATCAATTTGGTGAACTATATCATTCGCTCTGTAAATTGATTCGGTCAAGTTTCTGCCTCAATTGTTGAATGTTTCGTCCACTCGATCATGTAGCTGGAATTGGACACCTAGATTTCAAATAAACCTAAACAAAATGTAGACCCTTTGAACAAAATATGGACCACTACGTAATAGAAAAAATGTTTTCGGTAACCCATGTCTTGTCAAATCGACACACACTTTGTCATATGTACTTGCTATAAGGTGGCCCATTTCAGGGAAGCGGGTCCATTTTGAAAATGGTGCATTACCACTACAACAAGGAACAAGTGCACTTTCAATTGAATCAAATTTTTTTTTGGACCCGTATAACTTCGAGTAGAATTCCCTATGCGTCGTCAACTCTTTCAAAAGTGGGATGCGGACAAGTGAGTGATCCTCCTCTAATTTACCAAGCAATCCAGATACGTCCTGACAACCATCATGCCCAATATTCACAATCTGCTCAATGGGTTTGTGCATAAAAAGCGGCATTTCATCAATGAATTCAATCACGCTTTCTCGTTCCAGTGTCATCACGTTTCA